CGCTGTCATGTCAGAAGATCGCTTGTTCACTCTTGTAAAAGCATATTTGTTCCTGTTTCTCTCCTGCATGAATAGGGAAAAGTGGAGAAAATGAATTCATGTGCCATGAGTTACTTCCTAGGACAGCAGATAGACATGGAAAGAGCGAGCGGGTCCTGGGTCTCTATTTCACTGTCGTGTCGTGGAGCCCCTTCTGCACCTGACCAGGCCCACTTACATTTCTCCACCATCCTGTGCTGCGGCCATGGGAGCCCTCACCAGAGGCTCAGTGGTTCTGAACCGCTGATGTTGTCAGGTTTAACCTCTGATACTTGGAATTAAATAAACATTTCTCTTTCTTAATTTATCCAGCCTCTCATATTTTGCTAGAGCAACATAAATTTTACTAAGGTATACAAACATAAACATGTTTATCTCAGAACAAGGAAGAAATACTTCCAACACATTGAGTTCTCTATCTCTGTAATTCCTGTTAGGGGCTAGTATTTTCAGGTATTTTCCTTTAGTGACTTATCTGCATTGCTTTTGGTTTGAAGGAAATCATCAGCTAGTCATTATATTTTACCTCTGCATGATGAAACAGATGTCCACTGATACAACTTCATTATGGGGCATTAATTGTCTTTAAGTAGTTTGAATGATTGCAGTTTTGTGGAACTTTATCTCCCGGCTTTAGCAATTTTGTCCTTGTTCCCTCTGTGGAATGGCAGGTGAATTTCCTTGGTACTCAGAGTCAATCTTTCCAGCTGACACTGGAACATTCTTGTTCATCTTTTGATTCAAAGGCATGAGGAAGCTAAATTGCTCTGGTGTCAAATGAATTTCTGACGTCCCAGAGCAATTGATCTTTTTCTTTCTTCTTGAAGTATTCCTCCTTTGAGAATTAAAATATCTAAAGCATTTGAGTGTAAAATACTTGAAGGAGAAAAAAACATGTATTAGCATCGCTGTAGGTATAATGCTAAGTGATATCATTTAAATTTTCTTCTCTTGATTTCTGTATATTCTGGTTATTAGAGAAAGATATGATCCAGGCATGATAGCACAGGCCTGTAATCTCAACACTCAGGAGTATGATGCATAGATAGATGCATAGATAGTAGGTAGATAGCTGTACAAGAAGGTCATTGACCAGATTGAATATAGAATATTGAATTCTGTTCATCATTTTGCAACTACAAATGAAATGACTAACTGCTTCTGTACGCAGACATCTACTGAAGCTGCCACAACAATTTGACACTCACACAACCACTCCAACAACACTTTACCACCAAGCCAAATCCTTATGATTTCAAGGCTCTGAATTCTTTCATACCAGGTAGGAGTCACAGTCAGGGCAGGGCCTACCCTTGTTCTCAGGGACTCAGGATAGACAGACATAACTGACCTCAAGCTTCCAATACGTACAGACCTTGGCTATCTCTCTGGTTGTGAGTTATCTATGCACACCTTTTTCTTCCATTGATCCATGCTCAGGCCACTCACTGTCCCAAGTCAATGGACAGATGTGAAATTTCTAGAGGTCAATGACCCTAAGCACTTTGAAAATCAGATCAGCTGTGGTGTCCAAATTTTATTGAGAATAATGTAACTAAGGTAAATTGACTGTGCATGTGAATAGGCACTAGGTATAAGACATTATAGCACAGTCTCAGAAACGCAGTAGTAGTTACAACTGGATGCAAACAAATTCAGTTTTGATGAGTGTTCTGTGGTTGTAAGGTGTGTGACAGAATTGGTGGTCTGAATTAACTACTTGCCAGCAGAAAATCTACCACACAAGAATCAACACAAATTAGCAATGCTTGGCACTGCCCAATGTCCTCAGAGATGGAAAGTTAAATAGCTCCACTAACATGTAGACATCCACGTCAATATACAGAATGTTGTCCGTTTACTTAGAATAAAAGGGTTTGCATGAACCAGAATTGGGAGGAGCTCTTCAAAATGAGATGCCCTAGAGACAAAACTGAAGGTAGGGGGAAGACTTCCAGTCTGCCAAAGGGATAAATTCCATGATTTTCTGTTTGTGCACCTGAAAACTAAGGAGACTATGCAGTCAGTTGAGGTGTAATCAGTAGTTTCATGGAAAAAAATTTAGTATGTAACCCATTCTGATATAGGTGTGCATAGAAAATAAGATTGATTCCATGGAAACATAATTCTGTGTGATCCGAAACATGAAAGATCATTACAATCTTAGTGCTTTGGGCCACTGATGGAGATGGTAATCAATGGGAGAGAAAAACCTCCCAACTTTTTCTAAACATTTGCTGGAAAGTTGGTTCTTTACACCAGTGTGTACTGATCGCCCCCTGCTGGTCGTGAGTGCCACTGCAGGGAGGTTTGTGTCTGGGCTCCCACTTGCATCAAACCACTGTGCTTCTTGCACAGTAATATGTGGCCGTGTCGGCCGTGGTGACCGAGTTCAGCTGCAGCGAGAACTTATTACTGGCTGTGATTCTGGAGATAGAGATGCGGCTCTGGAGGGATGGGTTGTAGCTAGTGCTACCACTGTAGCTTATGTACCCCATCCACTCCAGGCTCTTTCCTGGTGGCTGACGGATCCAGCTCCACCAGTAACCACTGGTGGTGATAGAGAAATCGGAGACCGTGCAGGTGAGGGTCAGGGTCTCTGTGGGCTTGACCAGGCTGGGTCCGGACTCCTCCAGCTGCACCGACAGGACACCTGGGAACAAGGAAACACTTTCCATCAGCCGTCTGCTTTCAGAATCTTCCCGTGGACCCATGTCTGACAATAAGGACACTCACCATGGGGACCTGCCACCAGGCACAGGAGAAGACCCAGCAGTCTCATATTCTAGACCGCACCTTTGCCTTCTCCAGAGATCTTAGCCGTGTCTGAGGAAGGAGCGGTGAGCCCCAGGAACCCAAGAGGGGATTTTTATCTAGATTTGGAAGACTAATTTGCATATGGGAGGTCCCTGTCCTTTATGATGAGTGAGACAAAGCCCAAAATCTTTCTGGTCCTTGTGCTTCTGAGAGGAATCTGTTTTCCTGAATCAAATGGTGTTCAAGTTTGTGATCAGTGGGAAGCTGATTTCAGAGGATTGGAGGAAGCAAGACAGGGACGACCCCACCTTCCTGATCCCAGATCAGCTTCCTCAATTCCCTTCTCCCTCTTTGTGCCACAGCCCGACTCCTCCCTCACACATGGGTTCTGCTCCTGCTAATTCAGGACTGATATGAGCACAGCTCCCTCTTCCTCTCCCTGGTCTCCATCCTCTGGAATGTACATGCTGCTTGAGAGCGTGCTTCACCATCAACGCTGCTGTCAGGAGAGGTCCATCTGCCTTCCGCTCTAAGGCATTCTGTGATCCAAGTCCCACCTGACCAGATCCAGCAGAAAATAGGTATAAGGACGTGTTTTCTGTGTTCACCACATAAAGATATTTATGTTTCTAATAATTGGGGAAGAGAAGGAGGCCCTCTGTGTTAAGTGTCCTGTAACCACATGACCTTGTGTAGCCACTGAAAGGTCATTCCCCATCTAGGTTCAGCTTTCCCTCTTGTTTAATGGAGGTTATTCTTCAATTGCAAATGCTTACCTAATTATCATTGTCCTTTTTTGAACAATTACACATTATAAACACCATGCAAATGATGATGATGCCTTAAAATTAAAAATTAACTCCATCTTTCCGATCATATTTTAGCCTATGGTGTCCTGTTCTTGATTGCTATTGGTGCACTGAGGATTCCATAAATGTTTTTCAGTACAACACAGCAGGGGTTCTCAAAATTTCTTGCTACTGAGTTCCATAGCAAATGCTTTACAAATTTCCTAAGGACCCCATAGACAGATGGAATCTCTCAATGTCATTAATTAGATCTCTGTAAATAATTCCTTCATGAGCTGATATCCTTATCAATTTGTCTCTGAACCAGGATACAGGGCTGAGAATTTATGAGTAATCCAGGATGGAAAGCAGAGCCCAACCCCTTCCCACTTTATCTGTTGACCCTGAGCATGGAAACTGCACATTCCAACCTCCAGGGTGAGGAGGTGTGAATGCTGGGTGCAGGAGTAGCTCTGTATTTGACCTTCTCAGCAGAGGGGTATGAGAGTCCAATA